CGCCCCGCCGAGGGCGTGTTCCGGGGGCACGCGGAGCGTCTCTCGAGCGGCCGCCGCAGGGCCCTGCTTTGATCCGAAAGCCAGGGTGCAACGATAGGGGCAAGCTGAGGCAGCAGTCGTTGGCCTTCAGAAGGCCCCCTCGTTGCCACGGCTGGACGTAGCTCGGGAAGCTCGTGCGCTCGGACCCCAGGAGGGGTCCAGCAACCGATTCCGAGTCAGCTACCGTTCTCTCAGTTCGCCCTGCTGCAAGCTGTCGCCGTCGCCGTCGTCGCCGCCGCCGCCGTCGCCGTCGCTGCTGACGGTCGCCGCGGCTGTCGCCGTCGCCGGCCCCTGAAGTCTTTTTCAGCGCCCCGCGTCTCTCAGGAGGAGAAAAAACATACAGACGTAATTAATCTTCGAGTCCCAGGGAAATATGGGAAAATATGGGAAGTGGGGGGGAAGACGGAACCCAGAAAATATAGGAAAATATGAGGAATCCTTTTATTTGTGTGTATTTATTTGTGTGTCCCAGGGCCCCTTCAGTCTCCTCCTCTGTTCTCCTCTCCTTCCTGCTCCTGCGCCTGCCTGTGCCCTCCGCCTTGCAAATCTCGGCACGCCCCTCACGCGCTTCGTGTGGCCCCATAAGGGAGCTCCACCGAAGCCCTCAGGGTGGGGGGGTCGCGTACGGCTCTCGCCCATTTCGGCACGCCCTGCACACGTCTCGTGGGCCCAACAGGGAGTCCCCAGGAGAGGGATTTCGCATGCGGTTCCTGACCCATGCTGGTACAGACCTCACAAGTGTCGTGGCCCCATAGGGAGCTCCACATACCCCCCCCAGAGAGAGGAGGCCTCATGCGGTCACCCACCCACACAGGCACACCTCCCACACGCTTCGTGGCCCCATATGGAACTCCACCGAAGCCCGCAGGGAAGGGTTTCGCGTGCGGTTCCTGATCTAATTCGGTACACCCCTCACAAGTTTCGTGGCCCCATTGGGGCCAAGCCCTCAGGAGGTGAGTTTCGCACGCGGCCCCCCACCATGTCGGCACACCCTTCACACATTTCGTGATCCCATTGGAGCTCTACCAAAACCCTCAGGGTGTGGGAGCATCGCATGCGTCTCCCATCCTTTTCGGCACACCACTCATACGCTTCGTGGCCTCATAGGGAGCTCCACCGAAGCTCTCAGGGGTGGGGGGTCGCATGCGGTTCCCCAGCCATTTCGGTACACTTCTCACACATGTCGTGGGCTCGCAGAGAGCATCACCGAAGCCCCCAGGGCAAGAATTTCGCATGCATCCCAAGGCCCATGTCGGCACACGTTCGGTGATTCCACCGGGAACGACACCGAAGGCCCTAGCCGCAGGGCCCCCATGCGCCCTGAGGCTTATTTCGGCACAGCCCTCACACGTCTCGTGGTGGGAATCCTACCAAGCCCTCAGGGGATGGGTTCGCATGCGGCTCCCCGTCCATTTCGGCCCACACCTCGCACTTTTCGTGGCCCCTGGTCCCACAGGGAGCTCCCTCTACCGAAGGCCCCAACAGCACAGCTGGCATACGTTCCCAAGGCCATTTCGCCTCCCTGCCCGCACGGTTCGTGGCCCCATGGGGAGCTCCACCGAGGGCCTCCGCTGCAGGGCCCGCACTCGCCCCCAGGCACACTGCGGCACACTTCTCGCACGTTTCGTGGGCCCAACAGGGCAGCTCCACTGAAGGCGAGACTCACAAGTGCGGTACTCACAACTGCATATCGCAAGGTCCTTCGCCACCACAAGTTGTTCGCGGCGGGCGGTTCTGCCTCGTTTCGGCTTGCCCCGGGACCCTCGCGGATCCAGCCGGCTTGAAGCGTGCGGCAGGAGGATGGGGCCTTCAGGGCTCCGGGCGAGTTCTTGTTCACGACGTTGCATGCCCCAGCCATTTTGAAGAGACAGCGCCCCGCGTCTCTCTTCCTCTCTTCCCTCCCTTCCTGCCTCCTCCCATCCCTTCCTCTGACCTCCGCACCCACATTCCAGCACACCCCTCACACGTTCCGTGGTCCCACAGGGAGCTCCACTGAAGCCCCCAGGGGGTGGGGTTCGCATGCAGTTCCCAGGCCCATGTCGGCACACCCCTCACACGTTTCGTGGTCCCAGGCCCCACCGAAGCTTCAAGGGTGGGGTTCGCATGCGATTCCCCACCCATTTCGGTATACCCCTCTCACGTTTGGTGGCCCTACCATGAACTCCGCGGACGCTCTCTGGCGTGGAGGGGTGTTCGCATGCGGCCTCCACCCATTTCGGCACGCATGCGGTTCCCCAGCACATTCCGGCACATTCCTCAACTACGGCGTGGCTCAATGGGAAGCTCCACCAAAGGATCCAGTGTCACAGCTCGAATGCGTCGCCCGGCCCACTTCGGCCCCATCGGGGGTCACCGAATGCCACAGTGGCAGCGCCCGCATGCGCACCCCAGGCCAACTTCGGCATACCTCTTACACTTTTCGTGGCCCCACAGGCCCGCAGGGAGCTCCACCGAAGGCCCCAAGAGCAGCGCCCGCATGCGTCCCCGGGCCCATTTCGGCACGTTTCGCGGCCCCACAGGAAGCTCCACCGAAGGCCCCAGCCGCAGTGCCCTCATGCGCACTCAGGATCATGTCGGCACGCCTCTCATACGATTCGTGGCCCCACAGGGAGTTAAACCGAAGGCGATGCACGACTGTGGTACTCGCATCTGCAGATGGTTGGGTCCTTCGCCCGGTTCTTGTTTTGTGATGTCGGATCTCAGGAAGCGCTGCCGCCACTGCCGCCCACGCCGCCGCCGTCGACGTCACCGCCGGGGCCACTATTCGATGGTTCCTTGCCCACTCTCGCAGGGGCAACGGGCCTAATCTCAAGGAAGAAGGAACGCCATAAACACAAACGTTTGGCGCTCCGCGCAGGTTTCTTGGATCCGCGCTGGGCCCACCCCGGCGGCGCCTCCGGCGCCGCCCCTGGCGCGCTCCGCGCGCCAGGGAGGGAGGGGGGTCTGGCGCGGATCCAAGAAGTCCGCGCGGAGCGCCAAAAGTTTATGTTTATGGCGTTTGCGTTTCTTCTACCAATCTTGCCAGGCATCGACGGAGTGCTGGCACAGCGCGGCTTCGGCTCGCCCTCGGCGGTCATCGACGAGGGGGTCCGCGGAAGGCGGTCGCCAACACGGGGCCAAGAGAGAGCCGCCCTCCAAGCGGCAAGGGCGCCGGGCGGCCCTTGAGATATGATGTCCCTTGCATGCAAGTGCCTGGCCTCGGTTCGGCCTCCTCCTCCTCCTCCGCCTCCTCCACCTCCCTCGTCGTCCTCCTCCTCCTCCTTCCTCCACCTCCTCCTCCTCCTCCTCCTCCTCCTCCTCCTCCTCCTCCTCCCTCCCTCCTTCTCCTCCTCCTCCTCCTCCTCCTCTCCTCCTCCTCCTCCTCCTTCCTCCTCCTCCTCCTCCTCCTCCTCCTCCTCCTCCTCCTCCTCCTCCTCGTCATTGCGTGGAAGTGCCTGGCCTCGGGCAGGCACGCGGAGAGATAAAACGATGGTTCCTTGAGCAAAGATTATTTATCCAATGGTTCCTTCGGGCCCCATTCAGGATCGGCGGCGCGCCGGAGGGGAGGTGAGGAGGGCTTCTCTCGGAAGACCTCTGGCCTGGTGGAACGTATCCTGCGTTGTCGGGGCATGCTCGTAGACGACTTTTCAGGAGGCCCGAGGCCTTCCGGGCCACCTGACAAGGCCCGCCCCCTTCGCCGCCGAGATGCGAGCTCTACCGCCGCTATCTCCCCACGGACATATATATATATATATAGATATATAGGTATATACATGTAATCACAAATAGTACATATATATATATATATATATATATATATATACGTGCATAGATATATTCATATATATATATATATATATATGTATTCGGAAAGATGTTCAAAGCCATTCCCCAGGACGGGCGGTTCACCCTGGGCCGGTTTTTTGGCGGTCATATGGGGCCCAGCGAGGGCCTCCAGAGGTCGGATATTAGGAGAAATCTCCACGTGGAACCTTCCAATGCGTTGGAGGTCCGGGCTTCTTTTCGCCAGCCGCTGTCCCCTCGCAGCTCCGGGGGCTCGGCCAGTGGCAATGCTTTGCGGGGGCGCAGATGAGTGGCGCAGTCTCACGTCAGATTTTGTCTCGAATTCGGTGAAGTCGCACTTCCGCTTCTGATGGCTGCACGGCTTCCCCCCGGCCATAGGCGACCCAAGGAGGAGGAGAAGGAGGAGGAGGAGGAGGAGTGGGAGGGGGAGGAGGAGATGGAGGAGGAGGAGGAGGAGGAGGAGGAGGAGGAGGAGGAGGAGGAGGAGGAGGACGAGGAGGGAGGAGGAGGAGGAGGGAGGAGGAGGAAGAGGAGGAGGAGGAGAGTAGGAGGAGGAGAAGGAGTAGGAGGAGGAGGAGGAGGACCTGGAGGAGGAGGAGGAGGGAGGAGGAGGAGGAGGAGGAGGAGGAGGAGGAGGAGGAGGAGGACCTGGAGGACCTGGAGGACCTGGAGGAGGAGGAGGAGGAGGAGGAGGAGGAGGAGGAGGAGGAGGAGGAGGACGGGCCGCCTAAGCCCTTCGGAAAAACCCTCCACTGAGGGCCCTCCGTAGAGTCCTGCCCAGTCTCTCCACGCAAGAGATTGTACCTGCTCTAATTGGCCTTGCTGTCCCTGCGGGTTTCGGCTCTCTGCTTTTAGCTCGGTCGCTGTCTCTCCGCCGCTGTGCCTTGCTTCTGGCCCTCGCTCGTTCGTTTTTTTCGGGCCCTTGTTCGGTCCTGTGCTGTCGAGGTTAGCGCTTGATTGCAACCCACGTACAAACCAAGATTACACCAGAAAGAAAATCCCATCAGTGGATGGGTAGAAATTGGATCGATCGACCGGGAACCCCGGCACCTACGCTAGAATCGGGAACCCAGCTGGCCACCAAATCTCGCCATGTCCGCGAGGACCCCTTCAGTGCAAGCACTGCTTGGGGAATAAGGTCCTGTCCTTTGCGGGCCACACTGACAGGACTCCTATCCCATTTCCATTCCGTTCCCCTCGCGGCTCTGCGCAGGGCCGTCCGACCCCCCCGTCGGCGCGCGCGCGGGTGATGCGGGCGGTCGGGCGCCCGCGCCGACGCTTGCGCCGGGCGTGCTCGCGCGGACGCCCGCGGCGGCGGCTGGGATGGCGGCCGTGGTGGCAGCCGTCGGAGGGCAAAGCAGCGCCTCCTCGATTTCGGCCGTATGCGGCGCTTCTCGATTTCGATCCCGAGGTTCGTGGTCCGCGGTTTTCACGCATCTCCTGGCCAGCAGCTGCGCCTCGCCGAGGGCCTGCCGGGGGTGCCAGGATCGTCCCGGACGGCCGCTGGAGAGCTGCGTGATGGCCCGGCAACTTCGAGGGGGGGGGGCGACCATGAGATCTTGGCGTCGCGTTTTGTTCACCTCGGGCGGTTTTGCCTTCTTCCGGGCACCGGGGCAAGGTGCTGCAGGAAAGAGGGTCCGGGGTTTGGGTCGAGTTGGTCTCAGACGTTTCAGTGCTTCCATCAGAGCGTGAATTACCTACCCCGGTTTCGCTTCCAGGCAAAACCAAGTCATACCACGCGCCTCCCCGTCAAGCGGCCTGACCAGTACAGGCCGTAGTTTGGCATCGCTTGGTATCTCTTGGAAGCGAGGGTGGTCAAAAGCGAGGTAGGTTTGTTTGCCCCCTATTCCATGACGTGGGATCTTCCTGCACCCGCTCCTGTCAAGCTGTCTCGTATTGTTTGAAAGTTTGAAGTTCTCGCTCCTTCCTGGAGGTCTTCTCGCTCGGGGTGCGTTCCGCGGCTGCGCCTCGCCAAGAAGCGTTCCTGGGGTGCCAGGGGCGTCCCGAGCGGCCGCGGCGGAGGCCAGTTTTTTGTGGCCTGAAAGCCTAGATCTGCGAGGACATGTCGTTTTCAGTCGGGGGCGGGCAGAACCCCCAACAGGGACAGGTCGATTCGTGAATGTTCCGTTTTCGGCTCTCGAGAGGGCGCCGTGGCCGTTATGTTCCAGGCTTGCGCCCGCCAGGTTTGGGCCTCAGGTGGTAGTTCACTAAACCACGTTTTGCTGTTGTACTAAAGGGGGGTCTGTCCATCCCCGATTCACTGCCACTGTGTTTTCCTCGCTCTTGGTTTCGTATGTTGTAGTTGTTCGTAAGAGTGCTGGGGGCTTTTTTTGTCCGTTCTCAATGTTTTGTGTTGCGGTCGACAAAAAATCGTCGAAACACGACAGCCCAATCGATAACAACAGCGGCACCCGCCAGGCCCAAAACGGGCAAAGCACGGCAACCCAAAACATAAACAGAACGGCAACCCAAAGCAGAAAACACTTGGCAGACGCGGAAACATAAAAAGAAAGTCCAAAGCCATTAGAAAGCGGATCGCAAAACGAATCGAAAATGGCGAGACGGCAATCCCAAAACGGAGAAGAAACGACTCCCCAAACAAAACAAAATCGCCTAGCTTGATAATGGGAGAAAGAAGATGCCTCCCGTGCCACCAAAAATAGGCCCAGGACCCCTGGTCATCGAAAACACTCGAATCCCTTACCCGAATGAAAACGCTGAAGAAATGGCCTCACGCAGGTCCACGCCTGCGTAATCGAGATGATACACATTTGGGCGGTTTGGTGTTGATGCACCTGCAGCAGGAGATCCCCATATTCCTTATGTTTTTTTTTGGCCCTGCTAACGCAGGTCCCCCCCAAAGGCTTAATTAGGGGTCCTTTGATTGCTTATCCCTTGAGTCCCGACGTCAGGAACAAACTGCAACATCTGAAACACATCGACCAAAGACCTGGACTCCATCTCCTTCTGCGGCGTCTTCCGAGCCGCATCGATGCCTGAGGGTTCTAACCCCGGGTGAAACAAATGCAGCACCAGGATCTCATGATCTCGGGGTGCCCAAAGATTCGACGTGGAACGGGGAGGGGGGGGAGAGCTTTTCGTTGATAGGCCCATTTTCCACAGCCAATACCATAGGTAGAAGAGGGAGGAGGCAGACGGTGCATCGGCAGAGATGATGCTGTGCAGATGTGAGCTGGCAGTGTAGTGAAAGCATCGATCGGCTGCGACTCTCTGCCAGCAGTGCTGCTTGGGACCGCGGGAGGTCAGGCAGAAAACTACGATACACCCATGGCGGATGTTGAGACGCGTGCGTGCGTGCGTACTGCGTACGTAACTGTCCGGCTCGTCGCTGAGTTTTCTCACGCGGCGTGGCCATAAACGACGACACCGACAACGACGACGACGAAGAGCGGGGTTAGAGTGATTAATTCGAAAAGTGTGGCTATCATCATGTTCTTTTCATGAGTGACCCCCCCAGCGGTCTGGACCCATGCCCAGAGACAAGTTTCTCAGTATGAGCGGCTTTCTGACTGTCCAGAGGCCTGGTAAAAAGGGCCCCGGAGGCCAAACATTAGGAACAACCTTCCGTCGTGCTTCGGGGGCGGCAAAGAAGGGGGTGATGACTAGGGGGATAGGGGATTTCATGGCGTGGGCCATGATATTTCCCAGATGTCATGG